TTCTTGCTTCTTTCTTCTCATTTGTCATCCTTCCTTTGACATTTTCTATTGTTTCGAAATCCCCTCCATTTATTGACAAGGAGAACTAGATCATTGAGCTCTTCATCGCTCATGTCGTTGTTTGTTGTTTCTTCAATTGCCGACTTTAGAGCAATTTGACGTTTTGGAGCCTCTTTTGATTCCTCTTTTCTTTTTCTCGTCTTCTTCTTGATTTCGGCATTGTTGAGTTCATAGGTCATCAAAGTGCCATAAAGTTATTCCAAGGGATATGTATTCACATCCTTGGTGTTTTCTATCAACATTCATATATGACTTCATTCTTCTGAGAGTGATCTAATCATTTCGCTTACAAGTTCACCGTTAGTATATTTACGATCAAAACCTTTTAAACCATTCACAATATCGGTAAAACGAGTAATCATATTAACAATAGATTCATCTTGTTTCATAAAGAAATTTTCGAATTCTTTAACTAACGTATTTATTTTAGTTTCTTTAACTTTACTTGTTCCAATATGAGTAACATCGAGAGCATGCCATCATAATTAGGCCGAAACACATGTGCTAATTCTATTAAATTCATTTATATCTAGTGCACAATAAAGAAAATTGTTTGCCTTAGCATTTAATGATAATTTTCTTCATCGTATTCCCTCTAGGTTTAGGAATATTTTGATCGGCTTTTCCATCGATCTTAATTGTCTTTGTAGGCACATAGGGACCATATTCAATTATTTTCCAAATATTATAATCAATTGATTGAACATATTTCATCATTCTAGCCTTCCAATAATTATAGTGTGTGCCATCAAATAAGGGAGGTCGGTTTGTGGAATGCCCCTCAAGATTTTGAAACATAGTGTTAGTCATTACTCAAGATTGTGAAATCTTAAAAATTGAGTACCTCGCTCTTATACCAGTTGAAAGCTCAAGATTGGCTTGCCAAGAGGGGAGTAAATTGATTATTAAAAATTTTTCGTTAGTCACTCAAGATTTTAATATAATGAACACGCAAATGATAGTAAATAATCTAAACACTAGTAAGCACGTAAATGAAACAATGTAAATTTTCCACAAAGTAAAAGCATTAAGTAAAAGGGATAGAGAGTGCAAACGATATGATATGAAGGTTCGATCCAATGCAACGATCTACGTCCTTGTCACCAAGCTATCCGGCATGAGCAATGTCTTTTTCACTATATTGATTGACTTATGGTGCAATCCAACCATTTACAACGCTTCAAGTGACTTACAACAAGAAGCACTGATCCTTTTACAACATTGAGCTTTCCGGACCTCAACACGACCCTCAATTCAAAATGAGTTTACAAGTTAAATCTTCTCTTCTTAATAAATGATGAGTACAAGGTTAAGTATAAGAAGTGAAGTAGGCAAACACTTTAATAGATAGTAATGAATGAAGCTCAAGTGCTTGGTGTGTAAATCTTTGATATAAAAATGATTATCAAGAATTAGTTTTGATCAAAGATTTTTAAAGAGCAAAGTCATTTGATAATAAATGATATATAAGATCGATGTAGGCTCAAGGAGTATTAAATTGGATTCTCAAAAATTGTTTTTCAAATGGTAGGTGAGTGGTATTTATAGCAATTGAAAAACGCCAAAGTTTCTGTCCAACCTGACGTCCGGTTCAGAATCGGACGACCCAACTTACCGTTCGAACAATTTTGTCAGAACGGTAAAAAAAGTGACCGTTGCTAGTGAACTGGACTTCCGAATGAGTAGAATTCTCCTGAGTCATTTTCCTTTTTATTTTGTTTGCAAATAATAATGTTTTTACCTGATTTTTCAATGTAAGTTTGTTTTGATAGTTTTCAAGAGAAATGTTGAAAAAACTTTTCTTTGAAGAATAATTTTGTGCAAATATTTTTATTTCGTAAATTGTGTCGAGTACGAGAAAGCCATTACTTGAGCTCGAAGTATCATTGCTAAGAATTAAAATGTTTTACCTTTACAATCAAACCAAGAGAAGTCTAGTTACATCGTCTTCGATAATTTTGGTGCGAGTGCTCGATTTGTTGTTTGATTTGAAATGACGTAAAGCTAGTCTCCACGAGTGATTGATCGATCTCTTCCTTTTAGCTTCCTTGAGTTATCAATTTCTCGTTCAATGATTTTGCCTCAATTTTTTGCCAACATGTAATCAATTTAAAGAATGAGTTAGAGATAAACATAAATTGTTTGTTATAATCAAAACGTACGATTTGACCATAGGTCAACATTTCCTTCTGTCTTTCTCTTTAGGTTAGAGGGAACTTTGTGGTCGTTCCTTTCTTCTTCATGGTCCAATGTAGCGTCCTCAACACTAATGTGTTTTCCAGCCTCGTTAAAGATTTCAGATATGATTCACCAGAATCATATTTAGGATTTGAGATAGGAAGAACTATTATTAGGGTAACATTGTTTACTGAGAATCTGTTGAGGTATATCTTAAGGGACTTTGCCGTTGTTTGATGCTAACAAGGCGTTCTTTTGTTGTGTTCCAAGCTCAAGATCCCATAAATTGGATGAGGAAAGCTATAGCTAAGTCGTCCTGGCTTTAGATGGACTTGTGGGAATAGTTTTCTGAACAATATCTGAGCTCGAACCCCGAAAGTTAAAAGGGAATGCATAACCTATAATTGTTGGGATTTCATTGATCTGAAGCTCTATCAAAAGAGCTTTTAAAAATATACTTGGATTGTGTATGGAGGAAGTGTATACCAGATTTTAACATACTGGTTACTCATCATAAAAAACATATGAAACATAAGCATAAATCACTCTGTTCTGGGCAGAACAGAGGAAAGGAAAAATCTTTTGAGACTACATCTTCCTTAAACGTTTTTATACTGTATTTCCTTCATATATTTCTCTTACAAATTGGCTCAGTTTATAGCCAAACATAAATAGATTTTTACAAGATATTTAAAAGATATTTTCTACTAAATATCTAACTTAAACCAATTTCAATTTTACTACTACTAC